ACAAATCTAGCCGAAGACCCAAGAGCTAGATTGACCCGACACTATACCGAAGATATCCCGGACGTGTCTGTACGAGATTAGAATGGCTCTCAAACAGCTGAAAAACAACAAGGCACCGGGCGATGATGGAATCACGGCTGAGCTTCTGAAATCAGGCGGAACGCCGGTACTAAAGGCTCTTTAGAAGCTATTCGATTCCGTCATCCTTGAGGGAAAAACGCCTACGGCATGGCACAGAAGTGTGGTGATACTCTTCTTCAAAAAAGGCAACAAAACCTTGTTGAAGAATTTATTTTATACCCATCTCACTTCTGATTCTGTTTTTGAGAGTCATCATGAATGGTTTCACGCGACATCTAGCCTCCCGAACAAATCGGTTTCCGATAAGGCTTTAGTACGATAGACCACATACTTATCTATGGCAGAAAACTGAGGAGAATAATCAGCAACTTTGTCTGGCATTTGTGGTCTATGAGAAAGACTTCTCTCTTCAAGCTACAGTCTCTCCAACGGTGCCAAATTTACTATAGATATAATCGTTGAAGGGCTTGTACGAATAGGCCACAATGTCAGTCCGTCTCCGGGATCAGGACTTCAGTTGCAGCGAGGGGTCAGACAGGGAGATGTCATATTTCTAAAACTGTTCACTACCACTCTGGAAGATGTTTTCAAGCTTCTGGACTGGAGCGGATTGGGCATAAATATCATCAGCGAGTACATCACCCATCTTTGATTCGCGGACGATATCGTAGTCATGGCTGAGAACGTGGAGGATCTAAGCTCAATCCTCGATTGCCTCAATAGAGCCTCTCAACAAATGGGTCTTTAATGGACAAGACAAAAATCATGTCAAATGCCGTGCTGTACCCACTCCTCTGAAGGTTGGAGACACTATAAGTTGTCTGATGGCCGCTGGGGCAGGAAAGTTCTTGAGTGGCGACCATGAGCTGGAAGACGCAGCTTGGGCAAGCCTCACACTAGGTGGACCGATGATCTGGTGAAGGTCGCGTCAGGTGCCTGTATGCGAGCGGCACAGGACCGGTCTTTGTGGAAATCCTTGGGGGAGGCCGTTGTCCAGCAGTGGACGTCTTTCGGCTGAAACGAACGACCGAGTCTTTATTTTATTAGATTGGTATATTTAAGATCTAAAAGTGGGTGCCATATCTTAATTTTTGATTGAATAACAAGCGATCTCAGCAATTATTTTGTAATACTTGTTTCATTTACCCCTTGGTCATTTGGGAAAGTTCAACATGAAAGCGTTATTGGCTTATGATAAGCGCAGTATAATTGTATTATTACTGCGCATTTAAAGTTTTGATAAATTATTTTGATTCACACTCCCACTCATAAATGCAGTAAGTTGTAAAGATACGGCGCATATATTACGTTGTAAGAACTAAAATTTAAATCAATCATTTAACACATGTACCGTAAGTAACGAAAACTACTGATAAACGCAGTAAGGAACAATCATACTGCATTCATGGGTAGTAAGTATCGAACGAAGTCTTAGTTAATCCATAACATAAACAGTTTTTTAATAATTTTAAATACAAAATATTAATTAAAATACAAAAACCTCATATCAAAATAAACTTCGAGTTTAGCTCTATAAGCCCATATATTTTTTTTTACAAATATTTGCGTAACTAATTGTAGACACCCCAAAATAAAATTTCAACTTTGATTGCGTTTTTCTCGAAACTGTTCACGTGTTACTTACTGCGTTTATAAATTGTGCGGCAGCGAGGGAGTTCGCTATTCTGCGCCTGCGCACAATGTATTCATAATATTCGGAGATATAGTAAATATTATGATAAATAATAAAAATGTAATATTAACTACGGTTGTTGCTCTTGCCTGTGACTTTTCCCGCGTTTTCAATTTCCATCTTTTTACATGGAAATCGACTTATTTGACATTATTTTAACGTTGTTATTTGGCCTAACTCAACATCTTTATAAATTATAGCCTATTATGTTGTTATAGTATAATAAACAGTGAAAATGTAAAGTTTCAAATAGTTTTTGCTTGTACTCGTATATCCTTCCATCTACCCTCGAAAACTTTCACATTGAATAGGATACGCAAATCGATTAATAATCTTCCAAAATTAAATTCCAAATGGTTAAATCCATGCATTGCTAGATACTTACCAAGCAAGAGCAAGATGTTCAAAAATAACCATATTAAATCCTTAAAAACCTACTTAGAAGGCATTTCCTTCTTATAAAAAGGCCTATAAACACAGAATAATAATAAGTACTATCTATAACCTTATAACCTGACGGTTTAATGTTGATTGAAGAATCAGACGTTAGTCGTTAACTAGACTTAGAATTATTCAATCACAGACAATGGCCTTCTAATTACGATCCCAATTAGCTGAAGCTAGGAAGCAATCTGGTACTGAAGAGCATCATAAAAATACGCAATCCAGCACTTAGTATTTAGAACGGGCACTAACCAGTCTGACTAGGTTTTGTTAAGGGGGAGACGCCCGTATTTACAAACATTGGTAGGTCTCACAGTGCGTGTGGATGCACAGGGTGACACACGAACCAATCACAGCTCTATTCAACGCAGTGCGGTTGATTTGCTGTTTCACTTAAGCAAGCATCGTTTATTAATACAAGCGAGAGTGTGTTAATTCCTTTTTATTAGTCTTCTCCCCCAATGATTTCCAAAAAGTTGGTAGCGGCCAGCATCCAGCGCCTTCCTGCTACCTTTTAGAGGTCATCTGTCCACATTGGGGGAGGCCTATGTTTAGCAGTAGACATCCTGTAGCTGAAATGATGATGCTGTTAATCAGTCTTCATCGTTGGCTCGTTCCAACCAAACGAAATCCACTGCTGGACAAAGTCCTTCCTTAGGCCTCAGCCTCGAACTTAGCGGGCAGCGGGGCGGCGGCGGCGGCGGCGCGGGAGCGGCAGGATCTTATGCGTAAAATCAAATAGACCGGTTCTCGAAAACAGCGGCGCGGCAGCGGGGCGACAGCGGGTAACGAGCGGGCAGCGGCGAGGGAGCGGGCAACGAGCGGGCAGCGCACTCCTTCTTTTGCCCACAATAAATCGAGCGTTAGGAATAAATTTGAATCGAAATAAGATTGTTGCCGTTGTTCAGACATTTCGTTTGCGAATAAAAACAAATATCTCGACAACACAACCCCGAACACAACACTTCGCCGCTAAAGCGCCGCGCGAGCTGCCCGCTGGTTTCGAGAACGGGTGTGCGTTGCCCGCCCCGCTCCAGCGCCGCCGCCGCTCCCGCCCCGCTGCCCGCTAAGTTCGAGGCTGAGGCCTTAAGGATCTCCACAACAACTGATCCATCGCTGCCCGCATCCAGGTTACCGTGGCTTTCACCAGATCGTCGATCTGCCCATCCGTGGTCTCCAGTTGATAATTTTTTGCCCCAACGTTCAGTTTTAGTGCTATGCGCTCCGACCACTGCCACTAGAGTTTAGTAACTCTGCGTGTTATGTCGGAAAGTTTGATTTTCCTGCAGATTTTCTAATTTCATTCGATCGTGCAGGGAATCTCCGAGCATAGAAACTTCCAGCGCCTAACTGTCAAGTTTTAATAATTTGATAGTGTTTTGTTAGCTTTTCTCAGCTTTGTCGTCGGGAGCGCCTTCTAACAGATAAACGTCATTTTAATTATTCGTAAATATTACTTTATAAATCTCAGGAAAGTTCTTGAGTGGCGACCACGAGCTGGAAGACGTAGCGTGGGCAGGCCTCCCACTAGGTGGACCGACGATCTGGTGAAGGTCGCGGGAAGTACCTGGATGCAAGCGGCGCAGGACCGGTCTTTGTGGAAATCCTTGGGGGAGGCCTTTGTCCAGCAGTGGACGTCTTTCGGCTGAAACGAACGAACGAACGAACGAAATCTTTGAGTTCATCATCATCATCATTTTACCCATAGGACGTCCACTGCTGAACATAGGCCTCCCCCAATGCTTTCCACGTCGATCGATTGGTAGCGGTGCAGCGCTTACCTGCTACCTTTATGGTTTCGTCGGTCCACCTTGGGTTGGGACAATCTTTGGGTTATTGTAGTATAAAACTATTTAATTTATCGTCATTAACATCACCATCAGGTCTTTTAGTCTTCAATGCAGGAGCACGACTCTCTAATTTACCAGAGGCAAATGAGTATTTCCAGTACATTATGGCTTCCCCTTAACCCTCAGCTATAAATATGCCAAGAAAAAGCATCAATTAAAAAGACTCCTCTTATGCATTAAATCAATCCGAGACAGTTTCATTATAGGCCGTTGCATGACCCTTACACTTAAGCACATAAGGTTCACTTTCCAATTGATTGTAGAGTTATACTTAAATAGAAAATGTATGATGCTAGACTTGAAAACTTCATTAAGGTATGGATCATTGTTGTGTAATTATTATGATATTATTGTTTCTATATTGAGAACTTATTGGGAGACTCTTGGATAAAAATAAATACGAGTATAGATCGTTTCATCCACGAAGACGCGCCCCACCATTCTTCCGCTAATGTTTGAGTGTTATCGGTACCCGCTAAATGATCCATGAGTGCACACGCACACTACAATAATGACGCTCGGATTGCTCGGATGAAACTCCCGGCACCCCGCGCTTCCCTCGACCAAAAATTGGTGGGGCGCGTCTTAGTGGATGTAACCAGTAACGATCTTGAAGTACCTATATTGTAGGTTCCTCACAATTTTTTCTTCTTCTTCATAGTTAGGTTTTTAATAACTTAAAAGGATAGATGTTGTAATTTAATAATTACTTGATTGTTTGATAACTTAGCTTATCGTTTTGAGCTAGATACTTATCTACTGTTATTTGCCTACCTATTTATGTTTGAATTCCTATGTTATGTTGGTAATCTTATAAATAAAGAATTTTACAATTATGAATTAATACTCGGAACCATCTTTTTCCAGTCAACCAGACGGTCGCACTGACATAATTTTATAGTAACTTTTGCATAAGTACCTACTTACATTAAACCTATCGTCAGTTTCACAAATTGACATAGAACGGTTTGCATGATTTGATTACTAATTACTAAACTAATTGAAAAATCTAGTTTCAATTTCAAATAGGTATAAGAACTTGCTTCACTATGATTTACCTAGGGTTGACAGTCAAAATACCAAAGGAAAATAATTTTATTATACCTATGCATGAACAGAAATATATTTGTCCTCAAGCTGAAGTGACGAAGTTTTTAAACAAAATTTTGGAGTATGATATGTCTAATTGAACCATGTCAGACGCTTGTTACGAGTATGAGTTTAGACATAGACCTACTTATCTGACACCAGATATTACTATGTAACTTCAGTGGTCTAACTCATACGTGAAAACTTTACTCAGGGACTTACTAAGTCTTCAGAGGTTGGGTTTTATTGGACCAACTGTAGATCCTGGCTACACAGGAGTTGCAGCGGTCGCATCGAGAGGCGGGAATAGTCTCGTTCCAAATGGACAGAAGTTTCCCAAACCCTGGAAATAAGAAATTGATAGATTTTAAAATTATAGAGCAATTGAAAGTTCTTGAGTTTATTTATCATCATCATTATCATTGCAGTTATTGGACGTCTACTGCTGAATATAGGCCTCCCCAATGATTTAAAAAGTGTATGTAAGTATAAGAGTTTAATGCCCGTTTTCACCATCAAGCCCTAATTTTTAAGTGACCCCTATGAAAACAAAATTCCTGTTATGTGTTACCATACGGGTCACTTAAAAATTAGGGATTGATGGTGAAAACGGGCGTAAGTCTTTGGAATCACTGGACCAATTTTAATTTTTTTCAATTCCTGAGTGACGTATCCTATCTTTCTCTGAAAAAACGAAATCCTAGAGTCGCGAGAAAAAGCTGGTAATTAATAAAATACATTTGCATGCATGTTCATTCCTACATGAACGCGAGTTTAATAATCAGGTTTCTTTAATTGAAATCGTATACACGATGTCAAACACATCCGTTTTCCCTTGATATGTACTACACATAATTTATCTCCATCTTATGCATATTATTTTTTTAACGGTGTTCATCATTTTATGGTGTGTGTAGATCTGGTACTTTCACGGGGATATAGGCAGTGGCTAGCATTAATTTCGTTTTGAGGTATAGTTCTTGCAACACACGAAGGCGAGTGAGCTTTACTTGTGTATATACGTGTACAAGTACATGCACATAACGATAGTGTAATGTCTGTCAAAACTTTTGAAAAACGAAGAGTAGCGAGCCACCACACATGTAAAGCTCACTCGCCTTCGTGAATTGCAACAACTATAGGTAGTTGGTGTTTAGATTTGAATTTTCATCAATGACAAATATTTGTCAATCAAGAACCACCTTTCTTTAATACTTAGGGGGTTGTTCGTCCCAGACAGAAATTGGTCCAAAGGCCGAGATGGACCATCTTAGTAATGGTCAACTGGGCCCTCGCTATATTGGTTATAGCCCTTCTATAATGTTCATCGCACATTTCTCAGGTCCGTGCCTCACAAACCAATAAAAGCTCGATTCAAAAATAGTCATGGATTCTGTTCTATGATCTGCTAAACATTGAAATTCAACCAATCAAGAGCCTCAATCCATACTTGAAACTGTATCGAAAGCTGGCTAAACTTTGATGCTGTTCAGTAAAAGTTCAAAATTCAATCCGTCCGTTATTCTAACAGAATTCAATATTGAACAGCTATCATCATCATCTTTAGAAATTCCCATAAGTAATGAATAGGAAATAATTTATTCACTATCAAATCTATCCATTAGAAACAGGACTAGAACCATAAACATAACTAATGCATCATACTCAGTGGTGGTCTAAAAAAACCGCGAACCAAAGCAGGAAGAAATTCCCGCGACGCGCGCGCCCCTAGCGGCATCGGTCGGTACTATCTCTCTTTCCTTCTCGCACGTGCGCGAGCGCACCCTTTTTTTGGCGCTAGAAAGGGATGGCGCGAAAAAAATGGAGAACGCACATGTGGGATGTTTCTTCTTATTTTTCGCAGTTCGTTCGCCTCGTATGCTTTTAGGATCCGCATTGAGTTGTGGGGCTATTAGCTTGGGGTTATCGTGGGTCTATGCCATTGATGCTTGCACTTTTTTGTGAATTAATGGCATTTGAGTTAAATTGTTTCATAACGAAATCTAATTGTGTAAATAATTAGGTAACTTCTTTTTTTTCCCATTTAAAACTTAAAAAAAAATAGTTTATTTAGAAAATCGTACTTGCAGTTAATTTTTATTTCATCATCATCATCATTTCAGCCATAGGACGTCCACTGCTGAACATAGGCCTTCTCCAATGCTTTCTATGTTGATCGATTGGTAGTGGCCTGCGTCCAGCGCTTCCCTGCTACCTTTATAATGTCGTCGGTCCACATTGTGGGTGGACGTCCCACGCTGCGTCAATTTTTATTTAAGTATGCGGTACTATTTTATTATCCTGTAATTTTGTTTTCTTACATTTTATGAAACGCACCTACCAAAAAGATAAGTAGGTTTCTGCGTGACAAAAAGTGTAGATACACCTTATTACAGATTTTACACTGTTTTATTTGAATAATTTTTCTTTTATTACGATTTGAAATGAAAGTTTCTAAGAAAGCAAAAGTAAATTTTAACCAATTCTCGCGAACTAAGTACACTCGTAGTGCCATTTAAAAATAAGGAATTAACTTATTCATACTAGAGTTTCAACAATATTTTAATTAAAAGATTTGTCCATACAGATATTAAACGCACTGAACTCAAACATATTCGTCTCGCTCGCACTTGCCCGTTCTCTTTTGTTGCTCGTGATCTGCCGTCCTCTTCCCGCGTCGGTCGGGCTGCGTAGGCGCTCTGATTTATTTTTCAAAGCACTCGGATAAGTTTTCTAATGTTGCTTTTTTGCTTTTTGCAATTCTAAGCTGGGTTGAGAGCGGTTATTTTATTTCAAACTAGCTTTCCGCCCGCGGCTTCGCGCGCGTGGACTACATTATCTACATATTTTACGGAACCCTATTTTTTACCAAAATAAAATTTAGCCTATGTTACTCGTGGATAATGTAGCTTTCGAATGGTGAAAGAATTTTTAAAAACAGTTCAGTAGTTTTTGAGCCTATTCATTACAACCAAACAAACAAACAAAGTTTTCCTCTTTATAATATTAGTGTAGATAAGTACGTGGTACTAATAATTTTGCAGTTTTTTTTTTGGAGCTGATTAAAGTAATTTTGTGCGTTGTTACTACATAAGTACCTAATAAATAGAAAGTAAATAAATCTGAAAAGCCTAAAGTTGCTTTTTTAATTTAGTAACTATAGTTTTAGCAGTCAAAATTTTTGTCTTAACTATTGCATAAGCTTTTGAGAAAAGTTTTTCAAACTAGTATAGATATTATTTTGTGTATTTTCTTAAAATTGAATAGATACTTATAAATTTTTTCTTCCATTTTTTTTGTATGTAAAGTCTTTAGATATCAATTCTTTTCAGACTTCAATTAGGTACCTAAATGATTTATTAATTGACTCTTAGATTAGTCGTATGTAAACAGTTAAAACACATTGTCCATTGACCCAGATCCGAGGTCCCCAACCTCAGAGAAAACCGGTAACCGCCACCAATCTATAGCGCATATTATACAGGGTGTAAAACAAGTTGGAAAAATTGAGACCTCTATGTAGAGAACTTAGTTGATTTTAAGCTGAAAAGTCAATGGAATTTCATCTCGAAAAATTTTCATTGTATAAAAAATATTACTACTTGTAGTAAAAATAATACTAGAGTAGAATAATAATAAGTAGTAGAATAATAGAGTTCAAAATTAAATAATGTTATTTTTTATTTACTTACCATTTTTACAAATTAAAGCTACATAAAATTGCTTTTTTAATACAGATTTATCTGTAATGATACCTAATTTAAATTATTGGTATCAAAACTACCACTAGTTTTATATTTCAAGGTATTATCTAAAAAAAAAAACAATTTTTCTCCTGAAACCTCGATAAACCTGTCTTAAAAATAAATAATAGTTAAAGTACATGTACATGTATGCACCTAAATGTTAAATTCTGAATAAAGGTATTAATATAATTCTATTCTATATTTTTTAAAAAGTATGAAAAAATTGTGACGTCACGTTTCACCAACCTGTCATACACACCCTGTATACCTCCCCCAACCGCATCTCTAACTATTATTCTATTATCAATAACTTATTACTTAATTTTATCTGCAAGCACGAAATCAGATTAATTAAGGTAGTCGATTAATAATGGAATTTTCTAATCAAGTAAGCAGTAAAAAGATTTATCTTCGCTGGAATACAAGACGCATTTACCGGCTCTAGTGAGGTGTAATTGGAGTATAGATATCGATAAATTCTATCTTAACGGTACCCGGTGCCTAATTGGATACAGAGTGATGGGGGATTTTGTAATGGTTTAATAGGCGCAAGTTATTGGTGGATAGCGAAAAATTCATAATAATTTGGAAAAAATACGGGACTATTCCCACCTCTCGTTCCCACCGCTGCAACTCCTGTGTAGCCAGGATCTACAGCTTGACCGCCATAAAAACCCAACCAATGAAGGTCAATAATTTGGAAGTTAACTCGAGCAGTTACTAGATTTCTATATTTAGGGCTATTTCTCCGCGGATAACGTAAGAGAATACCTACTAAGGGAACGCGAAGGCCTCTACAACTTATCTAAGCGCGTGGGGAGTGTATGCCAAATCCTCTATTTGCCTCTGGTAAATTAGAGAAGGTCGTTCTTCTGCAGTGGAGATTAAAAGAATCGATGGTGAATATGGAAAATTTTTGTTGAAGTTTGAATCGTGTTTTTTCTTTTTGATAACCTATGTGATAATTCACATGTAATTTTAATTACTTCATTAAATTAAAAAGATTCAGTAATTTCAATAAATTAAATAGAGAAAGAAGATTCATTTTCAAAACTCAAACCATTGCTAGCTTTATGCGTGTGATTTTAATTTCAGTTAAAGCCTGGCAACCTTTGGTAACTCTGAACTGTACTCACTCACCAAATAAATAATTTTGTTTTAATTACTTTGACTGTTAAACACAAGCCAATGTTTCCACCATCGATATCCTGACAACACTAAAACCTACTAAAGAACAGGAACAAAAGGCAGTTAGTCGAGAGTCGATAAATATAAATCTTTTCTGTTTACTTTTAAACCCAAGTAACGAGGCTGACTGTACCATTCGTCTTTATTTTGAAACATGCTGCTTTATTAGATGGTGCACGATTTCAACGATCGTTTCTAATGGTTTTAGTTATTAATTGCAAATTAGAATGGTGTTTAAGTCTATTAAAAATAATAACATGGTACCTTTAAGGCAGCAATCTTGCATCAGTATCAATTTATATGGAGTAAATATGTAATTAAATGCCTTTTACTCGAAATATATTCCTCAAACTAAAACATTGAGGGTTTTTTGAAATTTCAAAATCGATTTTTGAAAAGTCGATAAAAAATGGAAAATCCAAATTTATCGATAGCATCGCCACATCACTACAAGATACGGAAAATGCCAACATTTTATTGGTAACTTGAATGTAGTCGTAGTACCGTTAATTTTAATTTTAGTTAATTTTATCCTTGGAACCTTTAAAAAGCTGACTGTTTTCGTATTAGAGTAGGCGCACACCGTTGATTTTTCGTCGGCCGATAGTTTAGTCGAGCTGTTGATCAGTATGGGCATGTATGGGAGTGCGCACACTACGCCGATTCGATTTGGCCGATTCTTCATACAATTTTAAATCCGCCACAACTATCGGCTAACTAAAAATCAACGGTGTGCGCCTATTCTTAGGCTTTATGGAAGTCAAAAATGCTTTTTCTGTTCATGGTGTTAAAGAAAATGATGAAATGTGGCTAAAAAAATTACGCCCGTATTCACAAACGATGCTTGCATAAGTGAAGCAGCAAATCGAACGCACAGAGTTGAATCACTTCAATAGAGCTCTGTGATTGGTTCGTGTGTCACCCTGTGCGTCCAAGCGCACTGAGAGCTCATAGGAATGTTTGTGAATACGGGCGCTGAATTGGCGCTTACCTTACTAGTCATTTTGGAATAAAATGACTGATCATTTATTTTTTACTCAGGAACTATAAGGATGTTAGCTTTCGATTAACTTTAAGGTAACATGATATAACCCATTTGTTCCTGAAATAAAATAAAATCATTTTTTACAACATTTATAACCTAGTTGGTAAACATCATGCATTTGTCCCCAATGGGACTCGAATTTGCGATCGCAGGTTCAAGTTTTTGTCAGGCTTTTTAGTAAATATAATTATTTTAATACACATAAAGGGATACCTATCTAACAATAATTAGGGTTGGTTTAAAAAATAAAAACTTTTACTTTGGCTGAGTTGCACCACCTAACTTTGACGTTAACCGATTTTTTGTGTGGAGCTTGACAGATTTTTGACTTTTGTAAAAGTTAAAGTAAGATGGTGCAACCCGTGCAACCCAGCCTTACTTTATAGACTTAGCTTAATCTACTTTTCTATTAAAATATTTTATAAGAAGCCGTGCAAGTCACTTTCACAAATTGCAACATAAGGTACTTGATACAAATAAGGCCTACGTTCTAATAAGGCCTATGCATCAGAAAACACAGATAAATAAATCCAACCGGGATAATACTTCAAGGACACGTACTCATATGCCCTACAACCCGGTAGAGTGCAAAAGCGTCCCGATCCACGATCCCAGCATCAATTGGCACGCGTTCTTCAAAGGTGGTGGGTGATTTCGTGCTCTCTTATAAAAATCTGGCGATTTCATCTTAAATTTTCGGTAAAATGACGCTGTTTTAGATTAAGTTTTTCTTAGTAATCGTTTATAAATATTTCTTACTAGCTAATAATTACCTTAATTTGTACTACTGGCTATAGATGCATTATTTGTAATTTTTTAAAGACAACAAGAGCGAGATATCTAATAAGGCCTAGGCCTTATTTCAGCATGGTAGCCCATATTAGATACTTATGTCAACACCTGATTACGGATAAATTCATTAAACTAAATGAGTCAAATAGTAACTAAATATTTATTTAATAAGAATGTTACTGACAGCACAGAAAATAAAAAGAAAACAGAGTCGAAAAAAAAACACAAAACCTGTAAAAAAAAGAAACAAAATACAAAACCAATAAAAAATAAGAAAAAAAGCCGTATGTATAATTCTAAAGGAAAGGAGAATAAAAACTGGTATTATCATGCCTGTCTCGAAGACAATGAAGCAGATATGCGACCATAAAGGACTGCTTTTGGTGGTATCACAAAGATTATGTAGGAGTTCGTAAAGATGATTCAGAAGCCTTTTTATGCCCTGGTTCTAACAAAAATTGAGATCTCATTTTGTTTTAAAAAATTCAAGACAAAATGATGTTCCTAAACTGATTTATTTAAAAGATTTTATGTGTAGGCCTTATTCGAACACGGTGTTTTAATAAGCCCTATACAAAAAAATAATATTGTTTGTTTTTGATATTTTTTTTGATAATTTAAGTAAAGAATCATTACTTTGTTACTATGAATATTTAATTTTATTTTTAATTTATGTATTATTCTTAATAAGTGGAATTTAAGTTTATGTAGAGATATACAGTATATTTCTGTTTACTTGGTATGTAAAATTTTGATAACGCAAACAAATCGACATGTTTAATGTTATAAGACCGCATTTTGTTTATTACAACTTCAATTTTAAGGTCTACAGGCATTTGAATCATATAGGCCTTATTCCGTGTAGGTGATTTATTAAAGCCAAAATCAGTGGATTCGTAATTTGCTTATTTTGAATAGATTTTGTTAAAAATTGTGTTATTTTTTGTAATATTGCTAAAATTAAAGGATGAAAGATGTCAATTAACCTTGTTTTTGTTGACTGGCGTTAATATTTATTGAAATATAAGCATTTTAAGTTAGGTAGGCCTTATTTGTATCAAGTACCTTATTAGTCCGTTTGAGTCCGTTGGAGTAGGCAATAACTTTCAAAATAAGTAAAAGTTGCAAATCACTTATTTTAGCACTTTATTGATGATCTTTAATAGGCTGTTAAAGTCTAATTTTCTGCGTGGAAAAGTCTTCAGACTTCACACTTAAAATGATCATTGTTCAATAATATACCTGTTAATATTCTATACTTATCATATAATTTTAATAAATAAAGTTCCTTACCTCCAACATTCCATAAATTCAGTTTTAAGTTGGTATTCTTTTTCAATAAAATGTTCTTCTTCATTTCATAGATTCGTAGAGAGCTTAAAATCAATATTGTAGCCATTGAAAATCACTTTCTTCCTTAAAAAAAATAAAGATTATTTTTTGCTTGAACTGCCCTTTTTATTTTTTTAATAATCCTTCTTATGTTATTCCAACTCCAAGTTTCTTCTTTATTATGATTTATTGATTTTGTAATTTCTGAAATAATATTTTCGATAGTGTTTTTTTACTCGATTTTTTCTCATATTCTTCACAATTTTGTTTCACTAATTAAAATTACTTTAGTACGTTTGAATTACTTGAAACTGGCACTATAACCTATCAAATGCGTCACTAGATAATTAGTTCAAACACTAGGTATATCTAGGTATAGACCTACCTAGTCGAAACCGTGTTTGTCTTGAAATAGAAGTTTATCTACCCGCACAAAGGCAGTCTGTGCACGCGCACATGCAAAGCGATAAGAGAATAAACTGTTTATTTATAAGAAATTCCGTATTCATAACCATTACTCAAGAATATACCTTCGTAACTAACTATTTTTTAAGGCAGGTATTTGACCGCAATCGTGTAATAGTGTTAAGTAAGATGCTGTCTAGGATGGTACATATCTGCCCTGTAAGTGCCTATTCACTCTCGCATTGAAAAGGCCCGGATTATAGTGTTCAGGAAAGACAGCAGCATTTTTTTTGTAATTTTCAAGTGGATCCTTAACTTCGAACTCTTCCTATGTTATTTTGATTAATTCGTTGCGGGTCCAATGACAGAACTTTCCCCCGGGACAAAATTGACCTTCACTGGTTGGGTTTTTATTGGCGGTCAAGCTGTAGATCCTAGAAGTTGCAGCGGTGGGAACAAGAGGTGGGAATAGTCCCATATTCTGGTAACCAGTAACTGGCAGTATAGTTCTGGCAGAGTACTTAAGACTTGGGACCCAGTCTCAGTACATGTCGTAAGAGGCGGCTAAGGGACTATAATTCAGGCCTCCCCAATCTATTTGGCAAGCGTGGAAAGTGTGTAGAGAAAATCCACCGTTTGCCTCTGGTAAATTAGAGGGTCGTTCACATGTCATCATCATCATCATCATCATTTCAGCCACAGGACGTCCACTGCTGAACATAGGCCTCCCCAATGCTTCCCCAATTTTCCATGTTGATCGATTGGTAGCAGCCTGCGTCCAGCGCTTCCCTGCTACCTTTACGGTGTCGTAAAGGCGCCTTGTAGGTGGACGTCCCACGCTGCGTTTTCCAGTACGCGGCCTCCATTCCAGAACCTTGCTGCCCCATCCCGTTCTCATGTAGTGTTAATGATTTACCTGTTAATGATAATAATTGGGATTATGTCTAGGTATGCGATTAAAAAAAATATAATAATATTACGAGTAGTTTATCCAGAAATTATACCAACCGAATTGAGAGCCTCCTCCTTTTTTAAGTCAGTTAAAAAACTAAAGCATTCTAGTTACAGGCAGTTTTGAAACGGTGAAACAGTTCTACAAATTGCTTCCACAAGCAAGTCGATTTGTTTACTTCTTAATATTACTATTAAAGATACTGAAATGTGGTCTACTGGTTCTAATTGACCACTAATGGTAATAGCTCGGAGGCTTTAAGAGGCATGACGTTACCACTATTGGTAGTATTTGTATAGTCTATGCCAATAAACCACTACGCAATACTTTTATTTTTATAAGTAGGTACTACAGAAGCTTTAGTTTTAATTTCCAAAGAAACATAGTGATATATATCGATCAATAATAATAACCTATTTCATTCGCCCGCTGAGAACCAGATTCCTGTTATCAAACCACTAATGAATAAACTGACTTGATTTGTTTCGATTTTAAAAAAATATATAAAAAATAGATACTGTGAATTTTATAAAGAAAGAAAATACTAATTCTTCAGTGAAATTGAGAAATCAATCTGATAAAAATTTACTCAAAAATAGATTAATAGACCTATGTATCAATCGTATTTGGCTGTGTTTTATTACAGATATTTAGAATAGAAAAACATTTGTTTGGCACAAACAGAAAAAATACAAAACTAGACTTAATTTGATTTAAAATAATGTCAAAAAAGCTATCCACTCAGCATTTAGCAAGGACTAAATATCCAAAACTAGAGGCTAGAAATCCAAAAGTAAGGACCGCGTTGTAGCTACGGCCGGTGCAGCTTTTTTCCACTCGCCCTGGCGGGGTTATCGCGGAAAAGTTGCATTTTTCAAAATTTTATCAAAGTGCACACACGCGGCGATAACGCACACACGCGCGACTAGTGATGCGCTGTGAGTGTAAGTTGAATCGAGGGAATTTTCTTGATTGTGTCTTAATCGAATCGAAATTATAATAGGTCTCTTTAATTCCTACTGTCTGAAAAATTATTTATGTAAAACTGGCTTAAGCTTTTCGTTTGCAATAATTTTTAACTTTTTATCCTTAATAAAACATTAAGAGAGCAGATAAAAGGAAACCTATTACATTCATTTAAAAAATTAAATGTATGGAGAATCAGTTTTGGCTTTCACGACGGTTTTACTGCACGGTAGTTTAATTTTGGATTTAATAGCTCGAAAGTTCGATTACATACGCAGAAAAAGCACTAAAGAGGTTTTTTCATTAATGCAGTAATTCAAAACTGTTTAAAAAAATTGACAAACCGGAACCCACATAGGCAAAAAAACAAATTATACTTCATCAAATAATAATAATTCGAAAAACCTGCTAAGTACCATAAGTACCATTTACTAAGTAAAATACGCTAACCATGATTAATTCTTGCATTAGCAATTATTTGTAGTTTTTGTTGATCATTCGACTCCCCGCCCATAACGCCTACATTCTATAATTGGGTGCGCGCTGCAAAAAACCTAACTCATTATTGGTTTATCTTGGTTTGTCTTCACAAGCACGTCAAGGTTAACCCTGTAGTCTTAAATGCTGTTGTAATAGAAGCGAATTTGCAACAAAAATGGGTAGGCTGATGTGCTTCTCAATGAATACGATGATTTAAAGTTTTTGCGCCAAAGAATTCAGTGGGAGGAGTGTTTAATTCGAATTGATTGGTGTCTGTGTTTAAGTTTTTGTTAATTTTTGAGCCTGTTATTAACCTGAATTTGGATTTAGTTATTTCTTGCTTTGAGTGATTTACGTAGGTAAGCACCTATAAGGGATTTTGTCCCTTACTGTAGAAATAAAATAGGAAGATTTTTAATACATTTTAAGGTTTCTTGTTGAATCAAGTCCTTATATTTAATTCGTGCTTGTGCATATTAGTAAATAGAGAAGATTGAAATATTTCAGAAAATAAGTATTAATATTCTATGAGAATATTGTAGAGTATCTATGATTTTAACAATTTATTTTATGAATTATTAAAAAATTATTAATGTATTTTTTTTTTAGTTTGTAATAAAACGACTTAAGAAGGCGATATCTTGACTAAGCCTTTAAGACAGTGATTGCACATCACTACCCTTTATGTAGACCAAGGAGTTTCGTTCTCCAATAACAAAGTCACAACTCAAAATACAGTGCAGTGTATTTCAGACCACAGCCGAATAATTTTAGGGTTGTTTTTCAATTGGCATAGCAAGGTTTTTAATACGTACAGTGTTGTGAAAAAAGCATTTTTTCGTTAGAAAAAAGATAATAATATCTGATGTTTTAAATGGGAGTTTTATATGTTGTCGTTGGAGAGGGCGGTTGCTTTTTCATTCGCAAGGTAAAAATTTCCACTGATTATGTAATATTTGCTTTTTTGTACTTTTTGTCAAAAAATAGTCAAATTAAAGAGTGTTTTTTTTTTGTGTTGTTTCGTAATGGATATCAAGGCACGTGTTTTATTTATTGCGTAGGTAGTTAAGTTCAGTTGAAGGTTATTTTTTGGACTCTACTTTTTTGGTTCTTTTTTTGGACAATTACAATAAAATAGTTGAGTGTGACGTTTTCTAATTAGTTTTTTTTTCATAGTAGGTTACTGATTTGATGTATTTTTTTTTAATAAAATAATTTTAGCTTGTCTCTGGTTGAGTGTAAAGTCCAACCGTTATCTATACCGGGTCAGTGTGGTACGAAAATAAAATATTTATAGAAATTATATAGTCCAATAAATCTAATAAGACTTTAATTAGTTGTTCTACTCTCCGCCAGATGTCGCAGTTTAATGGGAATATGACTTCATGAATTCTTATTGGATTTTTTGTCCGATGAGGGTTATGTGGGCCATTTAGAATTAAAATTGCGGTTGAGTACTTATGAATTCTAGTAAAGAAGTGAAATTGTTAACTTGAGATCATATTTTACCTAGTTACTTGCCTAAAGTCTTGAAATTGAAGTGAAATTGAGTGAAATTTAACTTATGTTGAAAATATCTACTGTAAGTAATATACTACCCGTAACCTTTAGATTTTCTTAACGTTAGTACTGACTGATGCTTCTAAACTATGCTAACGTAGAACAAAAAATAAAGATTTCAAATTATCTATTCACAATTCAATATAAGTAGGTATTTTCTTCTAAACAAAAACAATTGAATAGGTTGTAACTTTTTGTAAGTCCCAAGAATAATAAAGAACGAACGTAGATAAAAAAGCAACACAAAAAACTAACATGCCTAAGAACTGTTGTAAAACGAAATGAGTTATTAATCTTAAACAATTTGTCGGCTTAACGCTCTACGCCTTTGCCTAAAAAACTCACCCCATGTTGAAAAAGCTTAAAAAAACAACCAGGAAGTCGGCTCAATGTAGAAATGAAAAAAAAGTAGGGCGGCACGCGCCAATTATGTTTTTTTCGAACGCCGTTTAAACATATTACTTTTTTTATTGGTACATCGCGAGGGGTACTTTTTTACTCTACTTTTTTGATACGGACTTTTTTGACGCGTGCTTTTTTTCATTGGTCGCAACGATTAGTACGTGGGATTTTTGACACGCAATGTTTAGACAGGGAGGAGTTTTTTTAGGCTTTTTTATTACGTTTTTTATTCCGATTGGTGTTTCGTGAATTGATATTCGAGCTTCTGTTTAACGGGCCGTTTGATGGATTGTTAGCGTTTTTACGGTTTGGTTAACTGTCTTTTTTCTAATGTGTACGTACTTACTTGGGGTTTTTACGTGTGATGTTATTAAAATTTATGAGCGTCTTGAAGATAAGGACGTTTGTTTGTTTAGTGTATCGTATTCATTGGGTAGATATTAGTTTTTTGTGTTTATACGGAGAGGGTAGTTAACATATTTGGGTATGTGTTTTTCTTAGTTTCTTAAATTATTTGAAACGATTATATTTTAGAAAAAATATTGTCTCTTACACACGTCACGTTATGCTGAACTGGTTGATATAAAAAGAAATGAAGAAAATAAAACATAGGGCTTAAAAAAACCTACGTAATATGTAGCAGCCAAAAAGACAATTTTTTTTTATAAAAAAAAAACAATATTTTTTTAAAAATATTTTAGTTTTTATTCCAATCACCATGACGATTGCTATTGATTGCTGGCCACAATTAAGTCCCCTCCCCCAAAAAATGAAGAGCTCAATCAGAACCGTAGTTATCGATCACGCGCACAAGAGGCTTTGTTTCGTGCCACACTTGTCACGGAATCGTACCATCAATAATGTTTTACTTTGTCGTTGTTTTTTGTGGAGACGGACTTTTTTTATTTTTTATTATTTTTTTTATCATAAGATTTTCACCGTTTTTAAAATTAGAAAAAAATATTTTCCAACAATTTTTTTAAATTACAAACTAACTAGGTATTTTCAAGTAGGTAACATGTTTTTTTTGTAATTTTTTGTTCGTTTTGAATATCAACATTATTGTTGTACTTACCAAAGCTTCATTTTATTTTAATCTACCTCTATGGATCTACCATATGGAATTATATGGAATTTTTAGGCTTACCAAAGTTATTAATGCAAGTTTCTAGCACTTAAATAGCAATTAAACTATTTCAAACGCCAGATTGTATAACACCCGGGTGAGATATAGTCCAGTTTTGAGTAAAGCGACGTATCACGTGACCGTGCCCACATTCCCTCTGAGTTATCGAGTGTGGTGCGGGTTCGACTCCGCACGCGATCTAGATGTTGGTTTTGCAACTTTATCGCTTATTTTGTTACTATTTTCAGCTTTATTTATTAGTTTTGATGTTTAAAGCTAGTTTATATTTTTGGTTTTTGTTAAGATTTTAACTAACAAAAAAATAAAAATCATTGAGATATGTAACTTAGAATATTATCGGCATCAACACTTTTTGTGGTTTCATGAATTTTATCAGAACTTATTTTTATTTTGATAAATAAATAAAATATAATGTTAAACTGTCATTTAATGATATTAATTACAACAGCTAATAATATTATTTTATGTTCTGGTTATTCTATTATAGTAGCATAACAGAGTCGTAGTCGTAGCATAGATCCAGCGATCTGTCAGTACAAAGATTCAACTAATAAGCCAGTGGAAACTAATTCCCTAAGCCTTTACAATAATGTCACTACAAAACTATTCATGTTTCACATTAAATAACTTTAGAATTTAAGTTATGGATTTTTGAAATATTTTTTTTATCTAAAAAGTCTTCTCCACACATTTTTTCTCATAACCCTTCGCTGTTCCAAAAATGATTAAAAATAGGCCTCGGTGCGTGCGCGCGCGGTCGTTATGGACGAAGTTTTTCCAGCCAGTTCCACTAATAAAAACTATTAAAAACTTTCCTAGCTAATTGTTCAGTCGATTTTCTGTTTGTGTGACAGGAAACAACATTACAACATTTTTTTGTATTTATAAAACTAATTTCTATGCTCTTTTCAATATTGACATAACTTATTGACACAAACAAAAACTTTTTTTTTATTATTCATAACAGTATTTTATATTCTCAATAAAGGTATTTATGATTAATGCCACTTAAGCTATAGATGACATTGGTTAATCTTACGAAATGTTTAAGTAATAATTAAATAAAAACAACTTTTAATGAACCTGATATAGCTTACTAAGCTATATCAGGTCAGCACATAAGTAAAGAAAAGTCGTATTAAAAAATTAAAGCTCAAAAACATAAACTTTTAGCAGTTGAACGTTAGAAATATTGGGATTTAACCTTTCATTGCAGGCGCAAATACGCTCAATTTCAATTTAATTGTTGTAAGACAAGGGCCCCCAAATCAAAAGCTACTTCATCACACGTCTGCTCCCAAGATTTATCCTTTCTCACGTCCAAAAAACTTTTAAAACTTCAACCATCACTACAAAATAACAATAGTGCACTATCTTACAATCTAAGAATCAAACAAAAGACAACCCTCAAATGCGCAAGCGAAAAAAACCACCCAAACTGGTTAATACTGGTTCATTTTGTTTTATTCCGAAAACAAAAAATGGCGACATTATTAGTGCCCTTGTGAAGGTATTTCGGCGCATTCAATCAAATGAACATTTGCATAATTCGTGAAGGGTCAAATGCATCTTTTGTAGGTTTTTTTGAGAGCGGAACTGATTGTGTTAGGAAAGGTGTCTTGTTTCTACTAGTTTTGAGTAGTTGATGCGATAGATATTTTAGGGCTACGCCCGTATTCACAAACGATGCTTGCTTAAGTGACGCATCAAATTGAACGCACAGCGTTGAATAGAGTTCTGTAATTGGTTCGTGTGAGTGTGTCACCTCGTGCGTCCACGTGCACTGTGAGACCTCATAGTATTTTTTATGAATACGGGCGATAAGCATTGTAGCAAACATTAACAGGTCAGCGATTTGATTTTAGAAACAATAAATCCTTTGCTGCTAGCATTGTAGGTACCATTGTTAGGGACACCACTGTAGAAATATTTATCTAATACTTTTTAATATTATCTTTATGTAAATAGGTATATTATCCTATATTCAATTGATATAAAAAGCTAAAAAAGTTGTTCATTTTCTACAAATAGGATTTTAAAAAAGCTTTTTCATGTCCCAGTATTATTTTAACCCTACCACTCTTTCGGGACAGTAAATGGGCCAGTGCTGAGAACAAGCAGCGCAAGAAAGTTACCGATTTTCAAGCATAATGAGTATAATGACAGTATGCTTAAGTTTAAAACGAGTTTTTATTGTCTTCATAATGGGTCAATTTCCCAAACACATTTTTTGAGCGGCGTAGCTGAAAATCATATGTTTTTTATGACATAGAACTTTGATTTTTTTTTACACGAAAATATACAGAGGTTCCATTTTGAGGACAACATTATAAATGAGTATTTTCTTTTACAAATTCGACAAAAAATAATTGAACTAAGCGTTTCTAATTTTGGTGCAGTGTCCACATCCTTAATTTCTTACAATATGTATTTTTTTAGCTGAAGATCAAAACAGAACTTAGGGAAAAAGTATATTTTTGGATTATACAATCTATCTATTATCTAAGATTACCAAATTAAGCAAGTTTCCCAAATAACTGTGATTAAGTCACGTCCTTAAGTTTTGTCCGCGAAAAATTTATGATTTTGGTGTCAATAATGAAATAGCTCGTCAGTTTCTTTAAAGATCAAACAGGATTTAAACACTCCCATCATTCGTTAGGTTTAGTACCGCCCCCGCGAGCAGTGACGGCAGACGGGTGCAAGACCTCTGCGTCTTCCCGCCAAAAACGTAAATGTGTTGTTTTTTTTTAAACGGACAACAATTCTGCAATTTTGGTGTCTTTTTGTATAAGATTTCTAAGCTATTCTTTTTAGTT